TCAGGTCCTAGCACGTGTGGAAAGGTCAAGGACGAGTTTTGGGATATTTGGAGGTCAAAAAGTGCGAAAACCGAAGAAAAGTCCGAAGTGTCGTGACAATTGCTTCGTAGTAGTGAAGTGAAGGCGTCCCAGGAAATAGCCGCAGTTCACGTTCTCCTAAGACCGTGAACCTGGATCACAAATCGTGAACATCGAGCAGTTCAACGAGGTTCCAGCAGTTACTGACGACAAGGCAGTTCACGGTCTCTAATTCCGTGAACTGGGGCCATTGACCGTGAACCCAGCATAGTGAAATGGCGCGTTTTGGGACGACACTGAGTTCACGGACGCGTTTAGGTGTTCACGGCCGTGAGTTGGCCAACGCGTCCGTGATTTGGTCGCTTTCGGGCAAATATGAAGACAGCAGCGGGGAGAGAGAAAAGGGAGCTGGTTTTGGGGAGAAGAAACAGTTTCTTTCTCTAGGGTTTCAAACTAAATACCAAAGGGGAGTTCTAGTGAGAGAGAGAGAGAGAGTGCTAGAGTGATCTTGGAGCATCATTGGAGGCTTGGGTGGAGATTCAAGCCTAGAAGAAGATCTTGAGCTCAACTATGTAATCCCGCTCTCTCTCTCTCTCTAGAAACTCACTCTTTTCTCTTTGGGTGTTGTAGATCCCTAACTTATACTTTGTATTGTTTAGATTGAATGATTGTCATTGGTTATTGGTTAATTCGATGTTTGAGGCATTATTCACCATGATTGTTCATGCTTGTGCTTAGCAACTTAGGGGTTGTGCATGTTTTGTACTTAGCATCATAGGGATTGTGCATAATTGTGCTTAGCACCCCTAAGTTTGTGCGTTTAGGGGCTAGTAATCTAATTTGCCACCTTAGCCTAGTTTAGAGAGGAAAATCCCCCTATCAAGGGAGACTCAATCGAGTTGGTTTTCCTTCCACTTTCTAAGCCACCTAAACTAGGTTGAGTTAGGGCAACCCTCAATATTGAATTAAACAAGTCGATTCATCGTGGTTAGACAGTCTGATTTTGGGCGAATCGGCTACAGGGACTTCACCCTCGACGGGGTTTCTCTGTCCGAGCAAGAGGACCTTGATTCGGTGGCGTGCAAGACGCCGAGCAACTTGGCCATGATGTTGGTAGGACGGCAAGCTGCAGTGGTCGAAGTTCAGGTGATGTTAGAGATTTCGAAGTTTCTAGGGTGGAGAAGAGCAATAGAGTTATTCTGCTAACTACATAAGTTGTTAGTATATACTAACTAATATCCAAAATGTATGAACTAATATCCAAGTCTGTTGATTTTATGAAATAGTACTAAAGTATCTAGATAGCATAGACTAGTATTCAAAACATCACAAAACTAGTATCCAACTAACATAATTAGTATTCAGTCAATCAATTACCAACTAATATCCACAATCAAACCAACTAGTATTCAATATAGATACTCTTATGTGTTATCTGGATACTAATTATGTGCTGTATGGATACTGTTTGTACCTACTAGCTCGAGGCATGAACAATAAAGATTGTTGTGTGGGTTGACTTGTCATTCGTTCGTCTGATCTTGTCAGGAGGGAAGAAACCTGTGAAAGAGCCGGGGTTGCCCCCCAGATTAAGCTCCGACAATCAAGTCAGTTTATGTTTGTGGAGAGAGTTGAGAGAATAGATAGAGAGATCAAGTGTAGAGAGATAGTAGAAAGTGGAAAGTGAGGAGAGAAAAGGACCTCTCCTCCTTGGTGGGTTTCATACCTTTATATACTCGTAGCGGGTTTAGAGCGTCATACATTGTCGATTGGATGTGGTGTTACTTAGTCTCTGCGGGGAGTCCCTTAGCAACACCCCTAACAATCGCCCCCCAAGCTGGTGGTGAGTTTAACTCATCACTAGCTTATATTTTATTGTTTAAATCTTCGTCGGTAATTTTGGGTGGGGCCCTATGTACCCCAGTTGCCCCCCAGCTGGTGGCGCGTTTGACTGACGCGGTGCCAGCTTCTTGCGTCTTGCCCTCCATTAGCGCCATTAGCGCTCATGAAAGTAAAATATTTTAATAATGATAGATGGATAGAGTACTTAGCTTTAAATTGGAGAGGTGGCGGCAAAGTTTGTTGAAATAGGGCTATCGCGTAAATGTTCACAACTCGGCTTGTAGACTGCTGGTCAGTGTGCTCGAATGTTGAAGGAGTGGCGCGGGCTCGATTCTTGGTGGCAACAACAATTTTTTTTTTGAACTGAGTGGGCGCGAATAGTGCATGACTATTGCTATTTTTTGTTCTCTCGAACTGAGTGGGCGCGAATAGTGCGTGACTATTGCTATTTTTTGTTCTTTCGAACTGAGTGGGCGCGAATAGTTCATGACTATTGCGACTTTTTGTTTGTTTCGTGGAACTGAGTGGGCGCGAATAGTTCATGACTATTGCTATTTTTTGTTCCGTGGAACTGAGTGGGTGCGAATAGTTCATGACTATTGCTATTTTTTGTTCCGTGGAACTGAGTGGGCGCGAATAGTTCATGACTATTGTGACTTTTTGTTTGTTCCGTGGAACTGAGTGGGCGCGAATAGTTCATGACTATTGCTATTTTTTGTTCCGTGGAACTGAGTGGGCGCGAATAGTTCATGACTATTGCGACTTTTTGTTTGTTCCGTGGAACTGAGTGGGCGTGAGTAGTTAAACATCAGATGCCGCGCCATTGAAACACACGGCTCGCTTGTAGCCTGCTGGTGATGTTGCTTGCTTGTCGGAGGAGTGGCGCGGGTTCGAGTCCTCGCGGTGACGACATTTTTTGAAGAGTGCTGATCTGTTGAATGCCCGCGAGTTGGGCTTGTGCGCGTCGAGTGCTGGTGACGTGGGCCTAACTGGAGGTCAGGCGGACGGCACGGGGTGGAGCCTTGACTTGGCGGGCAACGAGCTGTGTGTCGGCCCAGATGGGGTAAGGCGGGCTGTAAACTTGCACGCGAGTCTGGGCCGCGAGTGGAGGTGTGGAGCGGGCTTAAGAGGCCGGGGATGCGACTGGCGGGCCTCTAAGTAGGGTTTGCTGCTGGGATTGTTGGGCGGTGATGAAGTTCCCTAACGCGGAAGCATTGATTTTTTTTTATTCAAGGGAGCGGAAGCAAATGGATTTGCGACGACACACTCCCACTTTTTATCTTCTTCGTTTTCAGGGTGTTGCTAACCGCCGCCCGTCGACTTCGCACCTGGACTTTGCCTCCTGTTTGGAGCTCTATGTCGCGCGTCGGCGCACCTCCATCTCCTTCGTCTTTTGTAAGCAGAGGAGTCAAACGATGTTCGTTGGCCGCAACTTTGTTGTGCCGATTAACGCGACACCTTTGGAGGCGTCTTCCTCGCTTCTTCTCCATGTCGAGCAATCGCGCAGCAATCGGATGTTGGACGGGGCCCGGTTTTCTCCGCTTATTCTTCAAGTCGAGCGATGGCGGAATATCATTCTCTAGCTGCACGACCGGGTGGGTGAGAGCGGAAGGCGGGGCAGACAGTGTGTCATTTCGCGCGAGGGATGCCTTTGCTCGATAACTCTATCGGTCTGCCTCGATTTTTGTGCATATCGATTTTCGTGCCCAAATGCTTTTTCTGATAAAGTGATGGTAGCGTGTTCTTGGGGAAACGTTGATGACGACGTGACAGCTGATGGCAACAGCGACTGTATTTCTTTTTGCTCTTCGGCGGCGACTTGGCGCCGGTCAGTCAAAAATGTCGCCGGAACCCGGCTGGGTTATATTTTATTCTTGTTAGGAGCTGCCAATATATTTCTTATCGACCGACTCTTTCACTCATCCTTATTTTGCGGCTGCTGCTGCTTGTAGTTGTGGGGAAAGGTTGTCGGATGTAAGTGGGGAAGAGAAGCTTTTCCTCCAACTGTTGCTCGCCTTCCTCTTGGCTTCCTACGACGAAGCTTCCGTAATTTTCCGATTTTGGCTTCCCTCCTTTCGCAATCAAACAAGAGATTGCAAATCATGCCCCACGGTGGGCGCCAATTGTTTGTACCTACTAGCTCGAGGCATGAACAATAAAGATTATTGTGTGGGTCGACTCGTCATTCGTTCGTCTGATCTCGTCAGGAGGGAAGAAACCTGTGAAAGAGCCGGGGTTGCCCCCCGGATTAAGCTCCGACGATCAAGTCAGTTTATGTTTGTGGAGAGAGTTGAAAGAATAGATAGAGAGATCAAGTGTAGAGAGATAGTAGAAAGTGGAAAGTGAGGAGAGAAAATGACCTCTCCTCCTTGGTGGGTTTCATACCTTTATATACTCGTAGCGGGTTTAGAGCGTCATATGTTGTCGATTGGACGCGGTGTTACTTAGTCTCTGCGGAGAGTCCCTTAGCAACACCCCCAACAGATACTATTCTGTATTGTCTAGATATTAGTTTGTGAATTTGGGATAATAGTTGATTTATGGTAGATATTAGTTAGCAAACCTTGAATACTAGTATGTGTTCTCTAGATACTTTAGTACTTGGATACTAATTCACGTATTTTGAATATCAGTTAGTATCTGCTAACGAATCTTCAAGTTAGCAGATTAACTTTTTCGGGAGAAGAGAGGAAGAGAATCGATAGGAGGCGATTGCATTTTTTTAATTCTTTTAAATAATAAAAATGAATTGAAAATATCTACATAGCATAACAAAATAACTAACTTTTTGCCACGTCAACATTGAACTAGTCACGCCAGAGTCAATGAACAGTTGACCGAACAGAAAGTTGACGATTTGACTAATAAGTTGTTTTCAAAAAGATTTGAATATCATTTTTCTTAAAACAAAAAAGTTTTATTATTTACCAAAAAAACTTGGTTCTATTCCAGGCCTAAACCTGAGCCTCATAACCACGCCCACACTAATATAAGTTCGACTAAGTGTTCCTGGGCCTAAGGTACAAACATACGAGGTCCATGTTGGCCCATGTCCAAAAGCGGCCCAATGACAACTGCGTTTGAGATGCTTAAATCATCCCACTATATATTCCTCTCCAAAACCCTAGTTTCAACTGCGTTCGCCACTAGGTCTTTCACCCGCGCCAGCAAAACAAGAACAGGCGTCCGAGGTTCTGATCCAACCGGCGGCGGCTGCAATGGTTTGCTCTCGGAACTATTAGACCTGTTTCAACTTTTCTGCTCGCTTTCTGAAGTAATGATCGTGTTCCATTTTTTGGTTTTCAATAGGGTATCGATTTGAAGGCTGGAGGCAAGAGCAAGAAAACGAAGCGTACGGCTCCCAAATCAAATGATATATATCTCAAGCTTCTCGTTAAGGTACTTGAAACTCTGATTCGATAAATTTTCTTTTTGAACTATAATATGCTTTTGACTGGATGAGATTTGACTGAGAGTGAATTGGTTGTGCGTGAACATCATCAGCTTTACCGATTTCTAGTGAGGAGAACTGGGAGCAGCTTCAATGCCGTTGTGTTGAAGAGGTTGTTCATGAGCAAGATCAATAAGCCCCCGCTTTCCCTCTCCAGGCTCATTCGATTCATGAAGGGAAAGGTTGGGGATTTTTTTAACTCTTTTGTGTACTTGGAGATGTTATTAGGAACTTTCTGTTGTTGTGACATGGATGGGATTTTGATGGCTATTGTTTCTTTTTGGTTTGATTTAGGAGGACAAGATTGCAGTGGTCGTGGGAGCAATAACCGATGACATTAGGGTTTATGATGTTCCAGCCCTGAAGGTTACTGCTCTGAGGTTTACCGAGACCGCTAGAGCCAGAATCGAGAAGGCCGGTGGTGAATGCTTGACATTTGACCAGCTTGCTTTGAGAGCTCCTCTCGGCCAGAACACGGTGTGATACTTCTCTCTTTTAGATATTTTGTTCCATGGTCTAATTAGCATTTCTTGTCAAGTACATTGCTGTTATTCCATTGCATTTAATGAATGATTAGCTATGGATCTGGGTCTTATTGGTAGATAGTTATAGCTTTGTGGCTTAGAAATTAGGGTAAGATTGGGAGCTATTGATGGAACTATGATGAGCCTATCAGACCTGTAATGATTTGCGGTAATGATCGCAATCTTTATGAACATCTAAGGGACTGAGTTCTCAGTAGTAATCAAATCTATCAAAATCTAAGCAAAGTTGTTTCAGTAATATGCAATGGATGTATACATGAATTGGCTTCATTAATAATGGAGAGCTGTAGCCCTAGAATTTGAGCACATTTACTATGCTATAAAGCATTGGTGCTTTAATGTACAACTTAAAGTTGTACCATAACGTTAAATGTATTAGTTTAGGTTGTACCATAAAGGAATTTGTATCATTATGTTATGGTATAACTCCACAACTTGAAGTTGTACCATCACATAAAGGTACAAGTTCAAGTTGTCCCATAAAAGAATTTGTACAAAAAGCATAGGTACAATCTGAAGTTGTACCATTACGTTAAATGTACAATTTTAAGTTGTACCATAAAAGCAAAAACCTATAGCACCAATACTATATAGCATTGTAAAATTCCTCCTAGAATTTAAGGTAAGATTGGGAGCTATTGATTGATGGATGATGAGCCTATCAGACCTGTAATGATTTGCGGTAATGATCGCAATCTTTATGAACATCTAAGGGACTGAGTTCTCAATAGTAATCAAATCTATGAACATCTTGGCAAACTTGTTTCAGTAATATGCAATGGATACATGAATTGGCTTCATTGATAATGGAGAGCTTAGCTTTTTTTCGTGCCCTTATAAACTATCTCTTCCTACCCAAATTACAAGATCTGTTGCAGGAGCCATCAAAATGTTCTGTAAATAACAAAATGTAGTTTTCCTCTTCACAGAATTGGAGATCAAAATCTTCACTGCACTTTCATCTTGTTAGTTGCTTCTCTTCTCCTGTTTGTTAAATACCGCTCAGAGTTCTTCCTGGAAATAGCTTCAATGTGAACAAAACAGTCTTCAGGATTTTATCTGTGCGTAAATGAAAGCATTTGTTGCTAATCCTTTCTGCTTGAGCCTTCTCTCGAATCAAAATGGAGTTGCGCTCCAATGTTATTGGATTACATTTTGATAACTTCTCCCTGGTATCAGCTTGATGTATTGACTAGATTATGATTTTACAATTATACAGCTGCAACATTGATGGGATAGTACAGTTTCATACTAAGACTCTCAACATTGGCAAGCTTGTTTAAGCCTGTTGTATTGATTAAATTATTATTATACAATTATATAGCTGCAACATTGATGGGATTGTACAGTTTCATACTAAGACTCCCAACATTGGCAAGCTTGTTTAAGTGATACTCTGTGGATGGATGCCTGAATTGGCCTCTTGGTTGAGTAATTGTCTTCTTGTGTCAAGTTCTTAGTTTGGTTTGTATTGGTTTTTGCAGGTTCTTCTCAGGGGTCCTAAGAATGCTCGTGAGGCAGTGAAGCATTTTGGTCCAGCTCCTGGTGTGCCACACAGCCACTCGAAGCCCTATGTCAGGTCGAAGGGAAGGAAGTTTGAGAAAGCTAGGGGCAGGAGAAACAGCAGGGGTTTTAGAGTTTAAGGCGTTGGTATTCATAGTTTATGTACCAGATATGCAGTTTGTGTTGTTTCTCCTACATTTCCTATTTCCAAAAATTTTGCTAGAACCATAGTCTGCTAGAACCATCTGTCAGACAAGCTCAATCGTGTCTGCTATCATTTGAGTGGGATTATCTATATTATGCACCTGACTTATTACTCTCAATTGGGTATACTAAGGCTGAGGCATCTCATTCTTGCTTCATTGGAACCGTATTGTGATGTTGCTATCAACTTCCAGGGTCCAAAATTTCAGGTTGTAGTTTGCCACAATTCTGGAAATTGCAGCAAAGTATAGGCACTTATTGTTAGTTTACGTAAATTTGATCAGGTTCAATGGTAATATTGATGGAGCTGTTACAAAATATATGGCAAAATTGTATCAGTTGGTATTTGCTAAGGTGGTCAAGTCACTGATTAACAGTGGTCATGAGTCATTGTCCAACCTTGGAAGGAGAAAGTGCATGGGGATCGCATTATGTTTGTCTGATCACGAGTTCGATTCTACTGCATCATTGGTTTGTTTTGGCTTAGATGTCCAAAGCTACTCAACTTATGACCAACTTGAAGAGGAAGTTTGAGATGTTAGAGACCAAAAGTCATCAAACTTCTTGTGGTACTAGTTCATATTTGGTTACCTGAAGCTCATGTTAAGACATCTATTACAGGATTCATCATCTTGGTAGGAATACCTTTAGTTCTTCCAATACCCATATTTTCGGACGCGACATTTTTCTTTTAGTGCTTTCATTAATACTTAAAGCATGAATGCTATAATATATACACTTCTTTGATCACTTCAAGACACATAGTTCTGAAGAAAATCAATGCTTATTCCTAGTCTACCCATATGAATCAGGTGACTATCGGTATGTCTACATGGGCAGCAGCCACTAGGTTACATATTTTGACGTATGGACACAGAAGCCGATTACCTGTGTTATGAACATCTTGAAGATGAAGCTGGAAATGCCAGAGATCTAACACCACAGAAGAAATTATTGGTTTATATAGCTTGCACTACAAGAGCCGTCTCCTCTTGTCCTGTGCCATCTCCTCCCACACTTGATAAAAGGAAGCACCTACTCTAAACCACTAAAGTCACAGTCGATTCTCTTACTACATTCATACTTACCATCTTAATGACAAACAGGGACAAACTCAAACTAGGATGATGACAGAGACATATTCATGTGGAATCTTTCAAGTGGAAAGCAACACAATGAAGCTACACATAGTAAGCAAAAGGACTAGCTAGTAGAACTTTATGATGAAGTTGTGGATATGAGCATTGATCTCCCCTGGCCTTTCCTGGTTGAGAAAGTGACCAACTCCTTCCATCACGACAATCTCCTCCAGCAATGGCACATTCTTCTTGAACCCACCTCCATGGACATACTCCTTCACCCCAGGTGTAGTGTAGCACATGTCCTCATCACCTACAACATACTTCACCGGCACCATCACCGCTGCACCGGTCCATGCCCCCGTCAGCTCCCAGTTCCTGCGAAAAGAGAACGGTCGGTCCATACTGATTAATATCGAACCTAAATGGGCGTGTGCAAACTTGAGATTTCGTTCATTGATCACCTCTTGTATGAGTATCTGGTTTTTCTTTTATAGATGTTTATTACAAGGAAATTAGAGAGGTGAACTTACAAATCTAGGGCTCTGTAGTAGTTGAGACCTCCAGTGAAGCCAGTCTCACTGAACTTGTTGACAATGTAGTTGAAATCATCTTCCTTGAGCCAAGAGGGCAAAGGCCCTGAATTTTTCGGGCAGATCCCAAATGGATTCTCTTTAGCTAGGTATGGAGGACCTGGTTTCCTGTCACTTAGGATCTTCTTCAGCACTTCAGCTGTCCCAGCTTTTGATATTTCAGCTTCAATAACTCCTGGTTCCTGCCCATTTCCAAAACCAAGCAACAAATTTTTTTTTTTGCATTGAAGATTCAAGTACAATAATGTATGCTTGTCTTGGTCTTATTACAAAACCCTATTTCTGTGTAAGATAGTAAACCAAGACCTCTAGCAATTTTGAGTTATTCTTGCAAAAAAAAATCACATCTCCTACTTAAAGTTTTGAACTTTGAGTCATTTCCACAAAGTATACCTTCTCAACTCATTCCTTCTCAAAGTTCAATGGAAAACAAACATGCAAGCTTCACTAAAAAGGCAGAGAAAAAAAAGCTTGCAAACCAAAACAATAAGAGATCAAAGAACCTGAAATCTGCACATATAGTAGTCCTCTCCAAAGACAAGCCGCATCCCCTCAACAGGCTTCATCTTAGGGTTCCTAGGTCTGAAAGGCACGCTCAAGCAAACATAGGCCTTGACCAGATCAGGCCTAAACAGGCACAAGTACCATCCAACCAAGGCTCCCCAATCATGAGCCACCAGGGCCACCTGGTCAACACCAAGCTGGTCAATGAGTGCCACCAGGTCAGCCACGATGTGGTGGCACGTGTACGCCTGGCTCGAGCCAGGCGCATCGGTGTCGCCGTAGCCTCTCAGGTCAGGAGCCACGGTGTGGAAGCCAAGGGAGCTGAGGGAGTGGATTTGGTGGCGCCATGTGAACCATAGCTCGGGGAATCCGTGGAGGAACAGGATTACTGGCTTGCCTTGGCCTTGACCCTTTTCAGCTATGTGCATGTTGATGCCATTGATGTGGAGAGTTCTGTGGGTTATCTCTTCCATTTGTGTGTAGAGGGTTTTCAGAGGAGTGTGTTGGTTTTTGGTATGGTGGTGGTGGGTTTTTGTTGCAGAGGAAGCTGGGAGTAATATATCAAGTTGGGGAGAGTGAGGGTCAATTACATGAACAGGTACTAAAACTTTAGAATCCTTTGACAAGTGGGTCACTAAAATTTGAAATAACTTACATAAATGTCACTTCATTTTCATTATCAATTACTACAAGTTATCGGTTAAAAATTCGTCATATATGTGGTTTCACCTAAATTAACGATAGATATGAAAAAAAATTCTCTTATATCATCTCATAACTATTGTACCAAGAAGAAGGAAATTAGAACGAGTTTGTTGATAATATTGATTAGAACCAGTCTACTAATGAATTTAAGTTGGATCGAGTATGAACTTGAGATAGATCATTCATGTATGCTAATTAAGGTGTATATCCAATTGTATCATAAACTCGTTTAGTTGGCTCTCCAATCTAGACAATGTGGATAAAGAAATCTATTCGATATGTTCAAAGTCATAGTGATTGTTATGTTAGTTACTTGAAACTTCATGACAAAGTGTGCTAATGAAGAAAGTGCAGTGACTAATTTGCCACATTACCCCAAAGGTGAGTGACATTTCTACAGTTCGACCCTGAGAGGGAGTAAATAAGAGGGAAGAAGAGGGGTGTTCTCAGTTTCTTTAAATGAATGGGGCTTTGGGAATAGAGGTAAAAAAGTATTGACTATTGAGAGTTGTGAATTCAAACGAAGGGTGCTGGGGCTGCTGCTGCTGCTGCTCTCTCTGTCTCTTCTCTCAGAGGGCTTTTACTATGGGCAATTGCAGGATTGACATTATTGATTGTTTGCTTTTTCTGGTCATATGCATAAATGCTTAGTAGTAGACCACATGTTGGAAGGGCAAATGATTTAACTCTCTCTTATACTTTGTTGCTCTCTTTCCGATTTTATGGTTTGGTGATGGAACTTAACATAAGCGTTGTGGTGGGTTAGGGGAAATTTTTGTTTTAAATGGTGTCAAGTGTTGTTGTACCAATTCACATGTTGTTCATAGGGAATGGTAATCCAAGAGAGGCCGAGGGTAGCTCAATGTTCATATATGTCTGTCATCGGGTATGGGTTGGTTCGGGTAATAATTCTACTCGAGAATGAATGAGAATAGATTGACTAACGAACTCTAGTCATTCAAATAAGACAAATCGAGAACACGAAAATGTCTGGCATTGGGTACGAGTCGGTTCGAGCAAATCTATTCGACCATGAGTGGGGGATATGTTTACTACCGAACTCTAGTTATTCAAACAAGGCAAATAGAAATGGTAGCTCAATGTTGATATATGTTTGGCATTGGATATTGGTCGGATGGAGTAATTAACCAATTTGAATTATTCAAACAGGACAAATCGAGAACAAGGATGCATAATGCTAGAGGAAGTCTAAGTAAGATCCATATCTTACTTAACATTTTTTACGGACTAAGTCATACCCACCTAAAATACGTCGAAAGTCGAAACAAACCACCCGAAATGAAACTAATCCAGGAATCAGCTTCATCCTATAAACAGAGGTGGAACTTCTCACCAGATAAGTAGGTGATTGATCAGTAGAGCAATAACACCACCTCTATAGTTGGAGCAAGGTACTTAACATAGAAAGAAGGCCAAGTACAAGTTTTCTTCCCAGGGAAAATAGATGGTTTCACATGGAACATGAGTGGGGCTGTCTTCTTCTTGAAGCGAGGACACCATGCTGATTTCTGACCCGTTCATTAATTAGACAGAAGCTTCTTCTCAATGCACATCGATATCCCAATTAGCTTTTCTTCCACATCACATGAATTAGTGTTGAAAGTGCTAGTTGAGATGTAGGAGAACAAAAAGAAAACATTACACTCGTCAGTTGGTTGTCTAATTCCCATCCCAGGAAGTCATGTTTTATTTAATTTTACCACGGCTTCTTCAATTTTTATGTTATAAGATTTGTAATTCTGTAAATATGAAGTATTTTATGCTAAAAGAATAAAAATTCTCACAAATGAGAGTTTTTTTTTCGTTGTTTTTTCTATTAAGTTCAAGAGAGAGATGAAAAAAGATACAAAATCAAATACGAATAAAGTGATGAAAAATGAATACTTACTTTTTATTCTTCACCAATTTGTTCCCTTCTTTTCTTCGGAGACTAATATAGAAGGTAGGGGTGGGCATTGGGTGGGTCAGGTGTATTTTGACCATAAAATGCACTCACCCGAGTTTAAACGGATTGACAATTTTAACCCACCATCCACCCACATTCAGAGACGGAGCCAGCTTGCTGACAGGGGGCCATGCCTCCAGCTAAGATTTTAAATAATTTATAATACCAAGTTTGATACTTAATTGGCAACTAGCCCAACTGGTTGGGATGTTGGTTTCTTGCCGCATAAGATGCAATTGGACCGGTTCGATCCAGCCAGATGGTACCCTCATGGACCGGGTTCGATCCAGCCAGATGGTACCCTCATCGTTATTCATACTTCAATTTTAATTTTTAATTTTAACCCCATCATTATGGTAACCTTAATAACATTTGAATGTGATGCAAGAAAATGTTTGATCTAATCCATATATTATGTAATTGTTCTTCATTTTTTAAAGTTAAAACGTTGTTATTAGAAAAAAGTTAAATAAGTAAGGACTTTGCTAC